TGACCTTTCACAGGCCAGCACTCTCCCTTGGATTTGTGGCGGGGATTTTAACGCTATCATGGAACAACATGAGAAACGAGGTGGGCCTCCCAAACCACGATATCTTATTCAGGCTTTTCGAGAAGCGGTTGAAGATGCCGGCTTGATGGACTTTCCTTTGTGAGTTTACTCATTTACCTTTGATAATGGTCACACTAGATATGCTCATGTGGAAGAGAAGATTGATAGATTCCTAGTAACTGCTGATCGGTGACAGAAGTTTCAACTTGCACATGCCTGTACCTTAGATATCTCATCTTCATATCATCTTCCCATTTGCATGAAGGTTAAAGCATGGGTTCCAAGGCCTTATGCCCATCGGTTTCGGTTCGAGAATGCTTGGAGATCTGATCATACTCTTCGTCCCCTTTTGCTTGATTGTTGGGAGGTTAGCCATGCAGCATCATTAGAAGAGAAATTAAATTTTTGTTCAGCAAGATTACATGCCTGGGGTATGGAGTGGAAAGATCAGTTTGCTTGAGAAATCAATATCATGAGGACTATCCAAAGGCATAATAGAGGGCGTCGAGACCACCATAGTCGTATGCAGTTCTAGCGAGCTAAAAAGAGGTTGTTTGAACTTTATGCTCTTAAAGAGGCTTTTTGGCGTCAGCGAGCTAAACAATTTTGGCTCACTCAAGGAGATCGCAACACAAAATTCTTTCATGCTCAAGCCTCTGAACGACAGCGCCTCAACATGATCGACAAGTTGAAGGATTCCAATGGTATGTTGCATACATGGAGCAATGGTCTTGAGGATACCATTAAGGAATATTTTGAGGAGCTCTATCATGGCCAAGGGAATGCAGATCAGATTATTCAGTCATTAATTCCCTCCATCGTCTCAAGGGAGGATAATGCTATGTTACGACAACCTTATTCCTATGAAGAGGTTCGACAAGCGGTATTTTCTATGCATCCCGACAAATCCCCAGGGGTGGACGGTTTTAACCCAGGCTTCTTCCAACATTTTTTGGATATTTTAGGGAATGATGTTACAACATATTGCATTTCCCAATTAAATTTTGGAGTCATCCCAAGAGAGATGGGGGCTATGGATGTGGTCCTTATTCCCAAAAAATCAAATCCAGAGGTTATGGGGGATCTTCGTCCTATTGCTTTATGTAGGGTTCTCTATAAAATTATGAGTAAGATGATCGCTCTTCGGCTCAAAACTCTCTTACCTAGCTAATATTATTTCCTTGAACCAAAGTGGTTTTGTAGCAGGGAGAGATATCCATGACTGTTGTGCTATTGCATATGAATCTTTACATCTCCTCAGAAATAGACGTAAAGGAAGAGTGGGTCTGGCAACTTTAAAGATTGATATTAGTAAAGCCTATGATCGTATGGAGTGGACTTACCTTGAAGGTATTTTGCGAGCAATGGGATTTGACAGGCATATGGTTTCTCTTTTGATGAGTTGTGTCACAACAGTTACTTATACAATTCGATACCGAGACAAGAGTATTGGGCCTATTATTCCTGGTTAGGGCATTCGACATGGAGATCCTATATCTCCTTATCTTTTTATTATTGGAGCAGAAGGTTTGTCACGATTGATTCAATACGAGGTGAATAGGGGTACTATTACAGGATGTAGAGTGGCCCGTGATGCCCCCCTATTAGCCATCTCTTCTTTGCTGATGATAGCCTTCTCTTTTTTAATGCCACTATGAGTGAGGCTCAGAAGATTCAACAACTCTTACAAGTATATGCGATTGCTTCAGGTCAGGTAATTAACTTCACTAAATCTGTCATTTGTTTTAGTCCTAATACCGAAAGAGTTGTTCGGGGAGCTATATGTTCTACACTTGGTGTTCAAGAGAGTAATGATTTGGGTCGGTACTTGGGTTTACCCTCAGCCATTGGCCGTAATAAAAGAGAAGTTTTTAACTACATTAAAGATAGAGTGTGGAAGCGAATTCCTACTTGGAAGAACAAATTTTTTTCTCAGGCAGGAAAAGAGATTTTGTTGAAGTCTGTGCTCCAAGCGATTCCCACCTATGCTATGTCACTTTCCCTGCTGCCTAAGTCTCTCTGTACGGACCTAGAACAGATGATGGCGAGATTCTGGTGGAGTAAAGATAAGCAAATTTCTAAGAGTATTCACTGGATGAGTTGGGACAGGTTAAGTCATCATCGATTTTCAGGTGGGCTCAATTTTAAAAAGGTGCACGAGTTTCATATGGCTATGCTGGGGAAGATGGCATGGAAGTTTTTAACTCAACCTAACCTTTTGGTTTTTAAAGTTTTCAAAGCTAAATATTTTCGTGATTGTAGTTTCCTTGAGGCTCAGATTGGCTCCAACTCAAGCTTTGTTTGGAAGAGTATATTTGCAAGTAAAGATTTGTTGCGTACGGGCATACGTTGGAAGGTTGGGCTGGGTACTAATATTAACATTTGGGAGGATCCATGGCTGATGGATAAGGAAAACCCTTTCATTACTACAGAGAATCCAGGGAGCACTGTGCTAACGCGAGTCAGTGATCTCCGTTCAGGTAATGGTTGGGATTGGCCGACTATTGATGCCATCTTTAATGCTAGAGATCGTCAGTGCATTCAAGCTATCCCGTTGGCAAGATCATCAAGCAACGATATGTTGATTTGGGCCCATGATAAATTTGGTATTTACACAGTGAAGAGTGCTTACAAGGCATTAACTTGGGATGCTACGGTGGTAGGTCATGGGAAGGACCGAGTGCTTTGGAAAAAACTATGGGCGGTTCGAGTTCTTCCTAAGGTACACAATCTTATTTGGAGGGCAGCTAATAACATTCTTCCATGTCTTAATAATTTGGTGACAAAAAGGGTGACTGTTCAAGATGTTTGTCCGCTTTGCCACACTTCTGAGAAAACAGTTTTGCATATTTTTGTACATTGCCCATTTGCACGCCAAGTATGGGGTGCTTCTTTCTTGGGTTGGTATGCTCCAGTTGTGGGATCTTTCCATGACTGGCTTTTAGCTGTCTTGAATTTATTTAATGAGTATGATAAGGGCTTAGCGCTCCATCTTCTTTGGATGATCTAGTCTGCGCGTAATGCAAAGGTATGGAAGGGAGTGAGACGCTCTCCCTTGGAGGTCTGGACGCGGACGTATAGGGACTATGAAGACTGGTGGAGGATGGCTCCCACAAAGAATTCCACGTCGACTAATCTTAGAGTTGAAAATGGTGCAACAAATGGATGGGAAAGGCCAACAGTGAATTATTTAAAGGTGAACATGGATGCTTCATCGGGACTTGATAGGTATGTGGGCTGGGTTTTATTGCGCGAGATTATGAAGGCCGATTCATAGCTGCTAAGAGTATTAAATGTAGAGGGAGTTTTGGTCCACGTGAAGCAGAAGCTATTGCAGTTAAGGAAACACTTAGTTGGATTAAAAGCAAAGGCTGGAAACAAGTCTTTGTGGAAACAGACTGTAAGGAGGTTGTCGATTCACTGAATAGTGGTATCCTTACTTTAATTCTATCATTGAAGATTGTAAGCGTCTCCAAATTCTATATGCAGGAGACCTTAGATTTCATTTTACTCCTCGTTCTGGTAAAGAGGCAGCACATTTGTTGGCGCGTAGTACTTGCTATGATGATGTTGTAGGGGAGTGGCTTGACACACCCGCAAACTTTATTCCCATGGTTTCCTAATTTAATTGCTTTGTTTCAAAAAAACGGTAGTATTTAGAGTTAGACTAAGGCCCCATTATGGTCAACTTATTTTCTCTTATTTTTTCTTACTCTTATTAAAATTAGATCAGATCAGATCAGATAAGAGCAGATCAGATCAGATTGAATCAGATCAGATTAGATCGAATCAGATCAGATCAGATCCAATGAGATCAGATCAGATCCAATCATATCAGACCAAATCAAATCAGATCTCATCAAGAATAATAATAATAATAATAATAATAATAATATTATTATTATTATTATTATTATTATTATTATTATTATTATTCTTAAAAATGAAAAAGAATAAACTTTAGAAACAAGTTACATAGAAAATTGAGAAAGTAATCCTTAATTATTAGACGTAAGAAAAATTATTTTTAAAATACATTGACAATGTCAATCTAATTCTACTATTAAAATAGATTTTTATTGCTACATGTAATTTGAGTTTCTAAAGTTTTGATCTTTTATAAGGATGAGATATTTTAATAAAAATACTATCTCTTCGATATATTGATTATCTAAATTTAATTAATTTTTAATGTATATATAAATTAAATATTTATTCTAATGTATATATGATGAAAATTATTAAAATATTAAATTAATATTCTAATTTCACCAAAAAAATAATCATAAAATAATACTCCCTCTGTCCCCCATAGATCTTCCCAATAGCCCTTTTTCTTTGTCCACAATAGATCTTCTCATTTCATTTTTTAACAATTAAAATACCACAACTCCCCCACTTACTTTATTTATTACACCTCACCCACCTCATTTAATACACTCCACCCATATTTCATTAAGGGTATTATGGTAAACTTTCACTTTTTTTCAACTCTCCTTAAAAACCACCAAAAGTCAAAATGAGAACATCTTAGGGGGACGGAGGGAGTACAATATTACATTATAATATGAATGATTATTCTTTTATATGAATTAACTAATTTTATTTTATTAAAAAAAAGTCATAAAATAAAAAATATTAATTATATTATAATATTAATTATCATTACAATTTAAAAATGTTATTTTAATGTCAAATCAATTTTTTATTTGAATTTTAAATCAAATCATAATTAATCAGATCAGATCAGATCAGATCGGATCGAATCAGATAAGATTCAATCAGATGAGACCAGATCATATTACATGCAATCAGATCAGAATATATCAGATCCAATCATATCCAATTAGATTGAACGGAACCAAACCATCTAAATTTTTTTGCAAATGTTTGCTTCAAAAGCCCAAATACGAGAGCTCACTTGTAACTCTGGGGCCATCGTCGTCCTCACCGCGTAGAGGGGTTTACGGCATCCAATAGAGTTTTCAGAGTGACCGCCCGCGCCGAATCAGGCATGACGAAGAATCGTGCTATCTTACAGGGTGGGAGTGGTGACGGAAGCACGGAGAAGAGAATAGATTGCTCGCATTCGATGAAGAACAAGAAGATGAAGAAAAATCTGCGGAGGTTAGGAGGAAAAGGCCTCTCCTTAGAAGCTTTCGTCAATGCCAAAACAAAATGCGGAAACTACATCCCTTCACTTATAAGTAATTCTGCTATTCCATGTTCGCTATGCTGTCTAAATTTAGAATATAAGCTTTGTCTTTATTTTTCCAATTGATTTAGTTTTCACCCTTTATATTACAGTATTTTAGATTCCAAAGTACACTTAATAAAATGATTTGGCAAATATTTGCATGGCACTGAGTTGTGTTATGTCGGTTTTTATGTAAAATATAGTTTAACCTGTTTTAAAATCTTATGAAAAATGATGGATTCCTCGTCTATCCACTGCAAATTTCAATTGACAATTAAGAATTGTGCTCTCTGCATTTGAGCCACCTGTGTTTTTATTTTAGTTATTATTATAAGGAAGGGTTACCACGATTCGTGAACAGACGCAGGTAAATAAGCTAATTCACATAAGGTAAAAGTAAAGTTCAAGATAGGTTGCGGTTTGGGACATGGAACGTAGGCACACTTACAGGAAAGTCTATGGAGTGGGCGGATATTAAGATGCAGAGAAGGATTAATATTATGTGCTTGCAGGAAATAAAGTGGGTGGGAGTGAAGGCTAAGAAGTTGGACACCTCAGGCTTCAAACTATGGCATACTTGAAAAGTAAAGAAAAGAAATGGAGTGGGTGTTATTGTGGATAAACAATGGAAGAAGGATGTAATCGATGTTAACAAGGTGGAAAATCGGATCATTACATCAAAGCGGGTGGTAGAAGGGAAGGCTCTTCATGTGGTTAGTGCCTACACACCATAAGTCAGTTTTGAGGAACACCACAACATAACGTTTTGGGAATACGTGGAAGGTGTATTGCAAGGCATACCATTGGGGGATAAGGTGTTCTTGGGAGGAGAATTAAATGGACACATGGGAAAGGATGGGAGTGGGTATGAAAAAATTCATGTAGGGCAGGCATGGCTTTGGAGTAGCGAACGCAAAAGGTAAAACCATCTTAGACTTACTTGTTTTCAGAAGCTAGACGAGCATCTTATATCTTATAACAGTGCTCTCAAATTGATTTCTTTATGCTAAGGAAGTCAAATAAAAAATTCTAAAATTATTCTGGAGAGAGCTTGACCATCCAACATGGAGTGCTAGTTATGGATTTTCGTATCCAACGAAAGGTAAGGAGAAGTCACAAAGGTGGCAATTGAAAGGTGATAAGCAAAGGGATTTTCAACGTCGTTCAAAAGAAGAAGCAAACTGTGATGGATATTGAAGTCCAGAAGGGTTATGGTGTGTGATATGGCACATACTCTTAAAAGGTGGCAAAACAAACCATTAGAGAAACTAATGGAACCAATGCACAAGACAAAGAATCATGGTGATGGGATACTTGTGTGCAAGAGAAGGGGAAAGATGTATTTACAAGATTGCAAAGGGCCATGAAAGAAGGATGTGAGTTTTGGACCACGTTAGGTGCATTGAGGATAAGAATGGTGACGTGTTGGTATCCGATGAAAGCATAAACGAACGGTTGAAGAGCTACTTCAATGAATTATTTAATGAGGAGCATGTGAGTGTCTCATGCTTCGATCTGCTACACACGAGATTCAAGCATTTGGCCCATAAGACATCCCGATTGATGTTTGGGAAGCTTTAGGAAGAACTGGCATTGGATGGCTAACTAAGCTTTTTAACGAGATTCTAAGATTTAAGAAGATGCCTAATGAATGAAGAACATTTTGTTTCCTATTTACAAGAATAAGGGATATATTTAGAGTTGTGAAAATTATAAAGGGATCAAGCTCATGAGTCACACGATGTAGTTGTGGGAAAGACGGATAGAACAAAGGTTGAGACAAGAGATCTAGGTGTCAGAGAACCAATTTGGTTTTCTGCCAGAAAGATCAAGTACATAGGCTATATACTTGGTGATGAGAATGATGGAGAGCTATCGAAGTGAGAAAAAAGATATACACATAGCTTTTATTTATTTGGAAAAGGTATATGACAAGGTACTAAGAGAAGTCTTGTGGAAGGTGTTGGAGAAAAGGGAGTAAGGGTATCTTAAATTCGTGCGGGTAAGGACATGTACGATGGTGCTACAATGAGCGTGAAAAGCCAAAGTGGGGTAATGAAGGCATTTCTCATCAGTGCTGGATTACATCACGGTCATCACTAAGCCCATATCTTTTTACACTTGTCTTGGAAGTGCTTATCAAGCATATCCAAGAACTCGTACCATGGTGCATGCTCTTTGTCGATGATATCATCCTTATGGGCGAATCAAGAGAGGATTTAAATGAGAAGTTGGATTCTTGGAGACAATTTTTGGAGTTGCATGGCTTGCTTATTAGTCACACTAAGACAGAATATATGGAGTGCAAGTTTAGCCACATAAGGAGACATACTAGCATTGAGGTGAAAGTTGGAGAAAATACTACTCCCTCTATCCCTCAGTTTTTGTCCACTTTTAAAGTGGAACAATAACCAAGATAAGGTGTCTATAGACATAAATACTCCTCAACCTTGTCTGGCTTGAGTTTAATTGAATGCCCAAAGCCCTTATGTCTTTTTGCGTGAATTGGGGCTGCCCAAAGCTTCACCACTCAGCCTCTGAATTCATCGTCATCCCAACGACCTCCACCATCAATCTAGCTTCCAACTATAGCTCTCCACCAATCAATCCACATCAAATTCAAAAAAAAAGAAAAGAAAATTGAGAAAAGATATTTTAGATTAAAATTTAAAGAATCAAGGTGCAAGGGATCTAGATCTTGAGAAGAGATCCTATTCAAGGGCATCTAGTCATCGCAGGCAGCAAAGAAGAAGTCCGACCCCTCCGATTCGATCCAGCTCTCCGTTGAAAAACACATCCATCTTTCAGCAACAATTGACTTTGAAGATGAGAGAGAGAGAGAGAGACGAAGAAGAAGAATTGGAGATGAGAGCTGAGAGATGGAGAGGAAGAAAAATCAGAGATTGGCGATGAGAGAGGAAGGAGAATTTGAGATGAAGATGGAGAAAAGAGATGAAAGATGAGACAAAGACGAAGGGGATTTGGGAGATTAGAGATTAAGGGGAATGAAAATATGGAACACTTGATGTGAGAGAGAACTTTGGACCTTTGTAACAAATTTGGATGTAAGGGTATAATAGACCTTTCATTTAATATTCTTTTCCACATAAGGAAAGTGGACAAATACTGGGCAAATACTCGTGGACGGAGAGAGTATACCACAAGTGAAGAGAATGAAGTGTCTTGGGTGTATCATTCAAGACAATGGAGAAATAGAAGATGATCTAAATCATAAGATTCAAGTAGGTTGGTCAAAATGGCAAAATGATTCAGGCTTTATATGTGACAAAAAATACCCTTAAAATTTAAGGGAATGTTTTACGTACCGTGATTAGACCAGCTCTGTTGCTGTATGGAACAGAGTGCTGGGATGCAAAGGGTGCACATGAACACAAGGTTAGTGTGGCCGAAATGAAGGTGCTTCGATGGATTAGTGGTTATATGCATGTGGATAAAATAAGGAATGAAGATATGAGAATTGAAATTGGAGTGGCACCTATTGAAATTGAAGTGGTTTGGACATGTAGAGAGAAGACCCATAGACCATCTGGTGAGAATGGTTGATGAACTGGTGAATAAACATGAGGCTAGAGAAAGAGTAAAACCTAGGAAGATTTGGCATGAAGTGGTCAAAGTGGACCTTCGCGTGAATGATCTCGATGGTACTTGATAGGGCGCATTGGCATCGTTTGATCCATGTAGCGGATCCCACCTAGTGGGATTAGGCTTGGTTTTTTTTTGTTATTACTATTATTATTACTATTATTTGTATCTATTATTTGTATCATTAATTCATTAGATTATTTATTATAATTATTACATCATAGATTGGTTGATTGAGGAATTTTATCCTTAGCTAAGAGCGTTAAAGCATGCAAGACTACAAGTAGACTACTACTAGACAAGTGCCATCTCTAGGCTTAGGCACGGGCCTAGGATCCCCAACTTTTTAGGGCCCCAAAATTTTCAAGACTTGTATGAAGTATATCATACATGATGTCTTTCCTTGTTCAAGTCGCAAATATTTTAAGTAGACTAGCAATCTTCATCGCGATTCAGATCGCATAGGTTGTAACGATCTGCAAAGTCGCAGGATCATACGTGTCAGATCGCAATCTTAACTACCATGATATCATGCATTGATAAGTGTTAACCAAAGGTCCAAAGTTCAAAAGTCTTTCCTTGTTCAAGTTGCAAATATTTTGCTAGAAATGCTATTGTACTTTGTAGTTCGGCTGATAGAAATGTATAAAGCAAGTCTTAATGCTACAAAAGTAAACCTTGGAAATGTAATATTGTGGCAGGTTAAAATTAGATTGTGCTATATTAAGTTGTCCATTGACTGTCCTGGATGTCACGATTCAAACAAGAAACAACCAAAATCCAATGCTTCTGAAAGCTCGTGAGCTTTCATTTACTGCATATTATTACTATTATCTGTGTCTTCAATGGTTATTTTAATCTCTGGTTCTTGTTAACAAAATGGATTTTGCATGGATTTGAAATATTGTATTGTTTTGGCATATTAGATTTTAACATTCTCTTTTTGTAGTTAATAATTTCAATGTGACTACTTAAATTATCTTACTTCCTAATGATTGTTATTTTTTGTTACACCTGCAGAGAAGCAAAAGGAGTTTTATAAGAATGCTAAATTTGTGAAGAAATATAAGAGACTGGTGAAAGCACATGATGAGCCCAGCGAGCCTTCTGTTTCTAAAAGAATATCAGAGGTATGTTAATTGAAAGATTTTGCAGTTTTTGCTTAATGATTTGCCATGCTTTTCAAGGGGGAAGCCTTGGAGGATTGTTTGAGGTGTTACGGTTTGACCTTGATGCCACACCGCTGGGAGTTTAGGAGTGAGAGATGTTTTGAGGAGATGTGAGAGATGGTAGGTTTGTTTTACAAGAGCGGTGTGACCAGAGGGTGTAGTAATGTGCGGCCTGACTCAAGTCACTCAACTCAAATGCAAAATTTTGGGGTACCTACAGTACACTTTGATAAAAATGATGGTTCCTACCCCTGTAATCCCCCCACCCTAAATCCCCCACCCTGCCCCCCACCCGACTTCTCCTTCTACCCGACCCCTATATGTATGTAGGTAGAAAAATGCTAGGGGTACACCAACGGTGTACCCCATTTGTCCCCCATCCCCTCCTCCACCACATAAATGGGCAAAAAACTTAAAAATAAATAAATATTTAAAAATGAAATAAAAATGTATGGTGGAGAAGGAGGTGGGGGACAAATGGGGTACAACTTTGGTGTACCCCTAGCATTGCTCATGTAGGTATGTATGAGACTCAGTAGTTGATTTGGAGTGTGAAGCCACAAATATTCTTTTAACAATCTCCTAAGAGTATTCTGAAGGATGGAGATATAGACGAGATATGTCGATGTGGAATGATTGGACTACCAATATCTTAGTATCTTACAGATGTATGCACATTGATTGGATTTACAACTAGGGAAATAGGGATAAACCACTGTTCAGTGCAAGCTCTCAATGAGTCAATCGACATGCATGTTTTGCTATTAATGTTATATAATGGGTAGTGAGTGTATTTGGTTGCCTCTTCTTAAATGTCCAAATGTACTATTCTTCCCTGAAACAAGAAGTTGATGTTATATACCTGTACTGCCATTCAGGAACTGAACGAAACTGCAGAAGCTGATATTGCGGATCAAAAGAATGATAAAAGCAAAAGAAATAAGCCCTGCAGTATAAAAGAACTGTATGAGAAAAGGCACGAAGAGGAAGAAAAGAAGAGGATAGAAAGAGAGGTCATTATTCAAGCTAAGAAGGAAGAAAGAGAGAGGGCTGAAGTGCGGCGGAAACAAGAAAGACAGAAAATGTTCAAGAAAACCAAGTCAGGTCAACCTGTCATGAAATACCGAATAGAGCATCTTTTGCAGACACTTCAAGGTTCAAGTGGTTAGAGGACTCAAGAGTTGCCATGTAATTTTTTTTTGTTGTTTTTTGTTTATTGTTCTACCAATTTGAAAGAGTATAATGTTACTCCGTTGTTTACCAGCTATGCTATCTATCTGGATGTTGTCATTGGGAAAACACTAAAATTTGCAATACGTTGAAGAATTGTCACTTTCTGTTATTACTTTTAGGGCTTTTCTTATTCAGTTTGGTTATCAAAATTAAGAATCTATTTCCATCTACTTGCTCATCAATAAAAGGGTTTACATTAGATATTCCACTCAAATCTATGTAGGAGTAGTAGACTAGTAGAAAAAAGTTGCTCCGCAGTAGAGTAGCGAATATGAGGGAGGAAAATATGCAAGTGCAATGATCTCCACTGTTTCCTGTGCACAACTCCACGCACTGTTTCGGTTCTAGCTCACGCCCCACACCATCAATTGGGTGGTTTCCCGCGGAGGTAAAAACACCGGAAACCCATCTCCTAAAAGGAAAGGGAGGCTTTAGAAAGCCGAAAATGACCTATCTTTTTTTTTTTTTTTTGAAAAAAATTAATTTTTTTTGAACGAAACTGTAGAAGCATTTTTTCAGAAGAATCATCATTGTTAAGCTATTTGTTTGTGTTGATCACATCCTCTATTATCATTTATCACTTCTCCATTTTTTTGACGAGATCGCCTCTCCATTTTAATTACTCCTCTCCTCTTTGACTATTATTTTCTCTTCTTCCCAATGGCATTTTAATTTACTTTGCTATATCATGGAGCAATGCATGATGAATGTGTATTGGGGTGGGGGGAGATGTTAGTCAAACATGAGATATAATTTCAAACACAACTAAAGTAAAAAAAATACTCGTTATTGATGCAATCTTATGTTGGGATATCATAAGAGATGAAATCCAAGTTTATTTTAGCGAAGTTGGATACCAACAAATTTCATCTGTTTATGGCAATTCCCCTACTCTATGGGCGAAGAGTATGGTTTCCCTGTGATCAAAACTAGACTCGAACCCGTGCGTTCCACGGCCTAATAAAAGTTAAAAAATCAGGGAAAGTATTGATGTTGGAATTCGATACGATTCAATTAACATATGAATATGTAATGAAATATTTGAGAGGATGAAGTATACAAAGATATAGATTGTGGAACTATTACATTATAATTTTTGGAAAACTTCTTTATAAACTACATTTGTAGTTTCGTTCATCTTGGTTGGGTCATCATTGCATATCAAGATCTTTAAACCTCTTTGATTTGTGACACGTGAGAGCACAACACAAAGCTGTCCATGGCTGAATACCAGCTTCTTTAGTAAAAGCCCAACATGTGACGATGATTGTACTTGACTTTTATTAATTGTCATTGCAAATGAAATCATAATTGGGAATTGTTTCCTCTGAAACATAAAAGGAATTCTCTTATCTGACGGTGTAAGCAACAACCGTGGGATAACAACTTCTCGTCCAATATTTTTCTCGTAAGCACCGTAGCTTGAATAAGATGATTGCCAAGTCGGGTAACAATAAACCTTGTTCCATTGCACAAACCAGAAGATTGATCAATATTCCTCAACAACATGATTGGTGTTCCGATCTTTAACTTCAACTCATGGTTTGGTACACCAGATGCTCGTATGTTATTCAGAATTTCGAGAGAATGCATGTCCGATAAGAAGTCTACGTTTGGATCAGATTTACACACTACATCAGAACTCAAGTAAGTTTTTGCTTCTCCGGCGTTGTTTATTCATTAATTTCATCCACGACTTCTAGTGTTGGTTCCAAGATAGCTCGACTTTGAAAATATGTTGGATCATTTGCAATATTCTGGAAGTTTGGATATGTTGAATTTACTATAGATGCAATTGGATCACCTATAGTTTTTAACAACATATCTTCTGGGATAATGACTTCGCCAACTCCATCATTCTCTTGCCCGGCAAAACCATCACTGATACTCGCAATCCACTCTGCAAATTCTCTCATGTTGTCTAAGTTCTCATCGCGAGACATGTGTTGTAGATGCATGTTAGTTGTCAAGCGTAAGACAGTGCAATATTCTCACAAAATACGAAGAGTTAATTCTAGCATTGACGATTTCTTGCCTTCTTCCTTTACGTATGACGGGTTGAATTTGTCGAAAATCTCCTCCAAACACAATTGTCTTTCCTCTAAAAGGAAGATTTGAATTTGATGGACAAACAGCAACATAATCTGCTCTGAAACAGTATTTGTGGGTCATTGGAGCTTCGTCTTAGATTATAAGCTTGCTCATAACCAATAAATCTGCAAGAGGTGTTTTTTGTTTAATGTGACATGTGGAATTTTCATGGGGATTAATAGGAATTCCAAAGCGCGAGTGAGCAGTTCTTCCCCCAGGTAATAATAATGAGGCAATACCACTCGAAGCAACATTTAACACAATATCTCCTCTTGAACGTATAGAGCAGACAAAGTTTTCTAGACAAAAGTCTTCTCACTCCCGCCATAACCGTAAACAAAAATCATCTTCTCGTGACCCGAATCGACGGACGCCATTATTGTTTCATAAGCGTGACGTTGTTCGTCATTCAACTGTCCCATCATCTTATGATGTTCATCTTTCAATGCATGCCGATCATATTGTAATTCGTCAAGAATTAGTCTGTTGCGAGTTGTCGAAGCTGTGTCTAGAATGGGAAAAGGCATGTCAATGACATCTCGAAGACTCTTAGCTCGCATCCTAAGTAACATATCTATCTCGATCAAGGCATAATTTTTTATTTGATCTTCAGTTAAGACTAAACCTATGCATGAGATGAGTACAATTAATCAAATAGATTATGTTTTAAAATACTAATAATATTAGTTGTATAATACCTTGATGACTTATAACACATCTTTGACGATGTAGAATGTCATCAGCCATGAATTCCCAACATTGTTCCCAGACATGTTTTGGCCTAGACATTTATTGTTTGTTAATAGTGTAACAAATAAGAATCTCAGCTGTCTGGCTGAACACCAAAAACTTGCTTCCTTAAAAGCATCGATGTACTAACACCAAAGCATAGCATAACATGCATCACGATAAGTGTTGTGACTAACACCATTAACAGTTTTTAAATCTTCGTACGAAGTCGGACCTCGAACGATGTTTAGAAGAATTCTCATATAATAAGACTCACCAGAGTTTGGTGGGACGTATACAACATGTCCAATAGAAAACCCTTTGAGTCGAAGTACATACTCTCTTTTAGCTTGCTTCCAAACGAATTTTTGCGGGAACTCGGCATACGTTAGCATCTTTGCAAGAGGATATTTGTCAGTTTCTTTCATCCAGGCATGAAATTTACTCTCCCTTATGCTCTCTCGAGTGTAAACATCACTTGCATGATCATCATCTTCAAAGAAAATTTACTGTTCACCAGGAAGGTGAAAGATTAAACGTTCAACATTAGGACATTTATATTGTATTGGAAATCCAAATATTTACCATGTTGCCTCGAAAGGAGAGATATATCTGCAATCGTAATACAATTTAATTTTATTTGGAGTTTATGTTTGCTCTTTCTCTCCGCTTTGTGTGCTAGCATAAATTTCTGCAGTGACACGGTCATGGCCTTTGTTGATATACTTGAACAAATATTTGATGGAGCGCGATTGATTACACCATTCAACATTTAGGTGAGCCTCGTACTTCATCAACAGATATCTATTATGTGGGACTACGAACCTATTATCCAACTCAACATTGTTCTTCATTATTGTCCGACCATTATTCCTTCTCCGATATTTTGGGTAACCATCCTCATTAATATTAATTTCCTCATTGAAATCCTTTGTAAAATATTTAGAGCACTTCCCATCCTTCATGCAAGGTGCGTTTTGTGAATTCGAGCCACACGGGCCGTGAATCATAAAATCTCAAACATCGTTGATGTATGTTGACTCATTCAATTCATCGGGCAACTCAGCAGATATGATATCATCAATATCTTTAGGCGTGGGAAATTTATCTTCTTGACCCAAAAACAATAAGATGTGAGCATGTGGTAGTTCACGCTTCTGGAACTCGACAGTATAAACAATTATAATTAAAAGAGGGAACACAAATTATAAATTATGATGTACTTATAATATATTAGATTGAGTATTAAGTAGAAAGAGAATAGTACTTACGTCCTCTAATTCTTCCAAAAATCTTATTCTTCTTTAAATCTCGTATTAACCCATTTAGTTTTACGTTGAAGACCCTAGAAACAATATCTGGACGATCATCAGCCTTTAAATCTCTAAAACGTAAGTAACTTTCAATCTCTGGCCATTTTGGATTGCAAGTGAACGTTAGAAAGAGATCTGGGTAGCCAGTCCAACGACATATTGCCAGAGCATCTTGATAGTTTTGAATAACGGGCACAGCCAAAAAACGTAGGAGGTACAATAATTCTTTTCCCTTTATTCAATGCCCGTTTATTGAATATAATATATTTATACTCCCTCCGTCCAACAATAAAGTTCCCACTTTCCTTTTTGGGATGTCCACAATTAATGTTCCCATTTCTATTTTTGGAAAGTTTTTCATTCCCAAAAGTCTAAATTACCCTCCCACCCACTCCCTATCTTTTCTTTTTCTTTTCCCTACCCCATCCGTTTCCTTTCTCATCCATCACTTTTTCTCTCTTCTCTCTCTTCTTCTCCTTCTCTCTTTTCTTATCTTCTTCTTTTTGAGAGCAATGAAGCAGCGATTGGGGTTGGCGGTGGGGCAGCGAGGCGGTGGCGGTGGCGGTCGTCGTAGGTGATAGGGTGGTCCCATCTCCTCCTCTTCTTCTTCTTCAATTCCCATGGTCTAATGCCCAATCCATCTTCAACTCTTCTCCTTTCTTTTCTTTTTTCTTGTCCATCTCCGTCAGATCTGAATTTCGATTCAGATAGCGTTGCCAACAAAATCGGCAGTGGTGGCGGAGATTAGGCACCGATTGATGATGGTGTGTTGGACCGGAGGGGCGGAGCCCAAGATTTCTACCGGCGGTCGGAGATGGCGTGGTAGGCCCACCAAGGATGAGAATGGCGGAGCAGGGAGGTTTTGACTGGGAAGGGCATCTGATTGTACACACAGAAAAATGGGTGGACAAAAAAAGAAGAAAAGAAAAGGGATGGGGAATGGAGGGGTATTTTAGGAAAGTCAGAGTAATTTTTATGTTTTATTAAACTCCGTGCCAAGTCAAAGTGAGAACTTTAATCTTGGACGGATGGAGTATTAATTTTTTTTCTCGGGGTATTAATTTCTTTAATTTTATCACATCGTCAATTACTAAGTAAAATGTATTAAAAAAATTATATTCTTTTAACACAATAGGTATACAGCGTGTTGGTGTATGAGTGATAGGAACTTATTTTTTATTACAAGATGTTACTTTAATAAATGAGATTTCAAAGATGGGCTTTGATAGATATCACATTAACTACATATTGGGCCACTGTCCAAGGTCTGGATGCAATTTATGTTGATTAGAAGTTAAAGTGTCATTCTAATTATATTGTTATTTTCGAGTCCTATCAAATATGGGAGCCTGATGCATTAACTCATGGATTGTGTTACTCATATTTATAAAATATTAATTTTGAAGTGTTTATCACATATAAATGTACACACAGACAATGTCCTCTATATACACAAACAATAAATAAATATATTTTTATATATAAATTTTATTTTTACACAAAAAGGTTATATTAATTTAAACATGCACGTATTTTGGAATGTATTAATATTTTGATTAAAGTATACTTTTTTTATATTCATTACATGGTATTTCCTATTTCAAATTTTTTTAATTTTCAAATATTTTAAAGAATTTATATTATGAAAAACATTGAATATCTATGAAATAAAATCACATTGAATGTCATAAATCGTACGTTTTTTTTGATTGTATCAAAAATGCATATTTGCATATTTAAATTGAATAATTAAATTGAATAATTCCAATTACTCCTCATATAATTAAATTTTAACGAATCGGAAGACTAGCACGAATCTCTTTCTCACCCGGAAGTCTAAGAATGACCAATCCAGAACCATCAGCTAAGAACCGGATGTCTCAAGGAAGACCGGAACTCTCAGAAGCAGACTAGTGAGAAAAGACTTAGAAAAATATCTAAGTCATGAATGAAGAAATTCTACCCGTTGGTAAGGAAAAATCAATTTCTTGATTTTCAACGGCTAGATTGAGGATAATTAAGCTGATTCAAGAACAAATGACATGAAGACAAAGTCTGGACTTCTCAAATTGAAGAGCTCACCCAGAATTCCTAAACAAACACAAAAAGACAAACTGTGTACTCCACTCAATAAAGAGTTACATTCCAGAATTCTTGAATAACAGTTAGAGGATGGATTCTGTGAAAAAGGAATCCTTCTTCAAACAATTGGGTATGTCCAAACATCCATTCCAATGAAGAATCATCAATCTCACTCTTCGTTCAAATTGAAGCCAGCAAATGCAACGGATAGTCTATTCCCTTCAACGGATAGATTATCCACCCAGCTATATATAGCTTCCATGGAAGACTGGAGAAACAACCACGTGAACAACGAACATAGCAATCAACTAACAAAGCTATCTCATTCACAGTTAGCCAAAAAACTTGATAAAGAGAGATTTCTAAAACTCCTTATCCAGAAGCAAACTCCTCCTCCTTCCAAAGAGCTATAGTATAAACATTTGAAGGTTTTCTTACCTCAAGTACTACACCACGTTGAAGGATACAATTTTTAATTAAACTTCTTGATTAAAACGTGACACATCAACTTTTCTACAAGTTGATCTTGCAAGTCCTATTGTTCGGACATTGCAGTTGTTGAAGAAGCGTGAACTTCGAAGGAACAACAAAGCCAGCACGAGTGCAGTAGCAATATTGGCCTTGCGAAGATATACCGTGCAGAAATTCATACAAGTGTAATTGTTGGTTCATTATTCAACGACCAACTACATAGTGGATTTTGAGGACGTAGAAGGATTACCCCACCTTCGAACCTCGTTAAGGTTTGCGCGTCTCTCTCTATCTTTACTTGTTTTGTGATTATATTAACTGTGAAACTAACCTATCCATATTGATTACTGCTCCAACAATCCACCAACTTCCGCACATAATCTAAGTTCTCAAGAACTTTAGATTAACAATCATTTAACGTTTTCAAAAACAAACGAAATTTTTTTTTAAATTTGTAACAAAGTCTATTCACCCCCCTCTAGACTTTGTATCTCACCACTTAGGAAACCATCAAATACACTGAAATGATTGCGATTAGCATTGGGCCTATATAACTAGTCTAAATTTATCAGTAACGTGTCAAAGCCAAAATAGTTATTATTTGTGAAAAGTGCGAGAACATGCTTGACTACTTTTTCAACAAAAATAATTGGCGAAGTTATTATTACTGTTCTTGTTGTTGTTCTTTTTTTTAATATTAATATTATTATTATTGTTACTTTTATTATTATTATTATTAGTATTATTATTATTATTATTATTATTATTATTATTATTATTATTATTAGTATTATTACTATTACCATTACTATTAATATTATTATTATTATCATCTTCATTACAATCATCATATAAGTCCAAAAAAAAGACAGTTACATCTTATTTTTACATAATTTTATCGTCAATTTGACCAAATAAAATAATTACGGCATATCTTATTTTGTATAACTTGATGTAATCTTTACTATATAATTTTTTTAAAGTTTTTACATCATTAAAAAAATGGATTAGAAATGAAGTCTACAAATCATCATAAATCAAATTATGACTTTTATTTTGGGATTGGCAGAGTAATACAAATATTAATATTTACGAAGTATAACAATAACGATAATAATAAGACTAACGGGACATTATAAAGGAATTGTTGAGTTTTTGTCCTTGGAATATCCTTCTTATAGAACTTGTTTTAGCCACTACAACTGCCTTTAGTTTAACAAAATTTATGTGGTATACTTTCTCTAATCGTCACTTCTCAATAGTTGAACAAAAATTGAGCCATTGTCGTAAGAGTTAACCGGGTACTAATTTATACTGGAGTCACAGAGAGATGGCTCCATTCCATGCAACTCAGGTTAGCTTTGGTACTCTCAAAGCCCATGAAAATTGTGACAAATAATGCCGGGATCACTGAACTCACTGACTGTCGGACGATGCAGCGAGAAAACGTATGATATGGGCACGGACAGCTGCATTGACTTTTTGGTAGTGACATTATCACTTAACATCCCCAGCTTTGACTCATCATAGGGGAATGACTCTCTGAGAAAGAACAAATACTCCCTGGCCAATTTTTCAACCTGAAAGGAAAGGCATCATTTCATAACACCCAAAGTATACACAACACATCCTATGCCCCTTTCTTTTTAGGTATTTCATTACAGGGTTCACAAGGTACAGAGAAAAAGGGTGATTGTGAGAGGGGTGGGCCATAGAATCCCATTTCCACCGATGTGCAACCAAGGAAAATTAATGAGGTAGCTAAACGTGAAATGTAAAATTACCTGGAAATAGGAAAAGCGAATGTTATTCATGGTGACGATTACTTTGAAATCGTATAAGGCATCTTCCAGCATTCGGATGGCTAAATACTCGAAAAAGTCGTGTACTATACTCTTTTGTTCCTCCCAATGTTCACTATCAAACTTCGGAAACCACAATAACCATTTCACATCCTTCCATGGAATGGCACTCTCAGTAGAGTTGGGCATAATGGTTTGATGTGGATGAGAAAGACCCCAGAGAACTCTAACCCCAGCTGGCCAATTCTTATGTGTAGATTTGTCTTCATGAGATGTAGTTGCGATAATGGAGGCTGGGTTATAATGATATGCGAGATTTGAAGTAAAATATGAATCAATGTCATCCAGCACCAAGATGCACCCATCTGAGGACATATGAAACAATTTTGAATGAGATGCGCTATCAGCATATTGATCTTCCTGGAGGCATGACCTTGATTCTAGGGCCGAAGGAAATGATGGAACCGACTCATGAGAAAAGAAACATGAATCTCCATTTCGGCATCCCTAACAAATATGTCAATAAAAAAAATCAGATACTCCAAAAATGGAAAGCAATATAATTAATGAACAACACTAAATGTCTAGATCGTAGGCCTTGACCTTGCTTGCCGATAAAACCAGAATGCAGGAGGAAGGATGATACTTTACCATCAAACAAAAAACACAACCAATGAAAGAGAGAATACAAATAGACAAGTGGTACATAAAAGTTGTTCATCATGCTTGATCATGACATTTGTTTTGGCATAGAACATTCGCAGTTGACAGGCAGGATTGTGAGAATATTGAAGTTGTTTTTTGGAATTAAACTTTGGTTAATGGCGAAAGAGCAAATGAAACATGTAACGGGTTATGTTGCATTAGAAACTAGAAAGTAGAAATACCTGTAAGGAAAAGAAAAACTTGCAAACAGGCCTCCTTGCTTCGAAGGAATGAGAAAAGAAGCACTGGCTGCCCCTGTTGCACAGCCCTTGGATAAAATATTTACACAGTGAAGCTTCCCCGGTGATATGACGCTCACCATGAACTACATGCTGATTCCCAGGTGTATCTTGTGATGATTGTGCTCTCATCTGTTCCACAATTAAGAAAAAAGCATTGACTATTGGCCACACATCAATGAGAATGTGATTTCATAAGGAAAAACAATACCTCTTTGATTACAGTAGCAAAACTTTTAGCCACTTCATATTCCAAAACCTCATTTTGACCCAAAAAAGGAACAGCAGCACACTTCATTATTCCAAGGTCTTGTTCGAGGAGGAGGTCATCCATAACTAATGCACCAGCATTCTCGCACTGGTCAGGCATTAGATGACATGTATGCTCGAAAGTGTTTGCACTATAATAAGATGGCAGGCCGTCTGATTCAACCAGACACTCGGGTCGGTAACGATGAAGGGAAGCTATGATTTCATCATCTGCAAGAGAAACATGTTTAATGCAAAGAAAAATGAAATCCATACAATATTAATCAAAAGATTGAGTAAAGAAAGCCTTACACATTTCAGAAACTTGGTGAAGTGCTGGCAAAACAAGATTGTGGGATGCACACCATTCTTCCTCAAGTTTAGGGAGCATAGTTTGTGTTTGATTTGCTCTGCCATGCTTTAAAAGGTCTTGCAACCTTTCAAGACGGTACTTATCCTTCATGAAAAATAGATACAACTGATGTCACGATAATTATGTCTCCAAATGAAGAAGGATAGAACAAGAATAAATTGCAGTTTACTTTGAAAACACATTGCCAAAACAAGAAAGCACATAAATTTCCCATGCATATCACTTCTTTTCTTCCAGTTAGCCCAGTGGTCTTCGCGTTTACAGTGAAATAGTTATCAATGTACTCCATGAACTGCAAGAAAATCATCTCTTTTAACAAAAATAGAATAGTTTGTATGGTACAGCAAAACTTACCACTCAAAGTTAAAATAATAATGGCTAGTACCAAACTATCCTGTCCAAACGGTCGAAGAATAGGGTGCGGCTGCATGTCAAGCAATACACCGAGGATAATGCCATCACGTAGCATTCCAATGGCCCCAAACTTAAGAATTAATACAGAAGCATCAAACGAAAGAGTGAAACTGGCAAGCAATCTTCCATAAAATGTAGGCTCAGGTCGGCTCCTTGGAGATGGCTTCTGTAATGCACGGATATGAACAAGCAAATTCATAGCATCGTCAACAACATCAGGATCGGGAGGGTCCAATGCCTTTCGCAACAAGACTAAAAGAAAACAAGCACAAGTTATGAAGATTTTTGTCATATGCTGAAAGAAGATGCTCAAACTGAGTGCACAGTGGCAGCTACACACAAATGAATACCAGAAGAGCACAGTTTTAGATGTATACCTTTGGGGTCATTAATTGCCTTAGATTCAGCACAACAAAGGAGAAGTATTTGCTGTCTAAGAGATAACCTCAATATTGATGGAGGCTCATAATCCGCCAATTGATTGTAGAATGCTCTTGTTACCAATCGATACACCTTACCATCACATGTTCGCCCAGTTCTCCCTTGTCGTTGGTTGGCCTGGGCCACAAAACATTAGTCACTAACAGATTGAGGATCATAAAAGCAAATACAGTTCACTCAATACCTGAGACTTTGAGACCCACGCAAGCTCTGCACAATCTGTCTTCCTATTACTGTCCCAAAAAACTTGAAGAGAACGACATGAATCAATAACATACCCCACCTTGGGTATTGTAACTGAAGATTCTGCAATGTTTGTAGCCAATATCACCTGTGGCACAGAAAAGAATCAGTTGCATACAATGATGCAGTCAGTTGATGTGGGTACAAATTAGGCATCCCAGTTTTAATACATCAACATCATTGCTTACAGAAATTGACATTATTACCTTTCTGTGAGACTTACAGATTTTCATGGCCATAAGAGCTTGTTCAATGTCAACGCTACGGTGTAAAATGTGAACTCTAAAAAGATGACTGAAAGGCTTCAGCAAGACCCATTGCTGTTCCAGTGAATAATATGTTGGAAGGAAGACCAAAATTCCCTTTTCAATGTCCTCTTCATTTTTATGGATGTGAATAATCAATTTGTGTATGAGTTGATGCAATTCAGGCTTAATTTCAGCATCTGCAGTGAACGGGCTTGACCCAGAGCAGTATTCAGAAGATAAATTTTCTGATTCCATTCCAAGAAGTTTAACAATCTGTCAAGTGTAATAGCAGCAAAGGAAACACCAAATATTTTTAAATATTTCAACATAATTCATTTCATACTAAAAGAATAAATTCATAAATATGAATACAACAGTATTTTTTTTTGAAGATATGCCACTGGAATGGAACACATCCTTTCAATACCTTTTCCAAATATAAAACATGTCGTTGAAAGATAACATGCTGATCAGTGTTGGGTATAGCTAGCACTTCTACTCTTTCACCTCTACCAAGATCCCTGAAGTATTCCTTATATCTTGCAATGTCAGCAGTAGCAGACATCAACACAATCCTAAAAGTTAAGGTGATTACAATTACAAGGCATACAGATAATCATCTTATCATCCATGACTTCATGATGCATGTGGTATCAGACACATCGCATTAATATGCCTCTCATCATCTCTTGACATTACCTTTATAGGATAGACTTTGGAAAGAAAAATAAACTAAGTACAGAAAGAGAGTTCACCTCAGATCATTGTTTTTTATCAAAAACTGTTTGACACAAACAAGAACAAGATCAGACTCTACAGATCTTTCATGCACTTCATCAAGAATAATAACTTTGTACTTGAGTGCATTCAACCCCTTTTCTCGCATTTCATCCAGCAGAACTCCAGCAGTTTTGAACACAATCATTGATCTGTAATAAAATATTGGTGGGATCAACTGTATGTGGAAAAGCAGATCAATTGATACAAATATAAAGATAAACCGTTAAGTTTGACATATATAAAGATAAGCATGTTCAAAACATGTTTAAAATTGAAATTAATAAAAATATGTTGCTTGAAAAGTGTAAGAATAACATAATACTCCCTCCGTCCCAGTGTATTTATTCAGTTTGACTTTTTCGAGTCAAAGTGTACAAACTTTGAGCTTCAATTAAATAAAAACCATAATGTATTTTAACATAAAAATAACTTTATTGGATTTATCGTATTGAGAACTTTCAAAATTGTATTTCATTATGCTAATTTGCAATATAAATTGAGAATAATTGGAGTTCAAAGTTTATCCAGTTTGACTCGAAAAAGTCAAATTGGACAAATACACTGGGACGGAGGTAGTATGTTGCTACCCTTGAAAAGAGTTATATCAAAAAATATTTGCATAAGATAGTTTGACATGCCAACTACCCACAGAGTCGTGCTTTGCCTTACCTAAGGGTCGACCGGTAACAAAGTCTATAGTATGCCACGAGTTACAGAGTCTATTATATGAGTAATGAGTCATCCTTCTTCATACCTTCCAATCAATAGTACGCCTTCAAATATCTCTACTTTTTAGCACTTCCATGGTGCATCATGATAAAAGTCCAAGGCTTAAGCCTCGTTTAAGCCTTACGCAGTTACGCCTTGATACACCTCATACACCTAGGGCATAAGCCTCGAAATACCATAAGATCTGACGCCTTTGAGGCTTAAACCACTGAGTTTAAGCCTCACCACCTCGAGGTAGACCGCCTCAAACCCCTTTGAAAACCATGTCCAATATTTCTCAATAAAGAACTTAGATAGTTGACATCATTCATTATGTGAGCAAATTCATTGTCTATGGTCAATGTATCAAGACAAGGATACTTTATCAGTCTTAACACAGTAAAGTAATTTCATTATAGCATGTTACGAAACATGCAAACAGAAAAGCTAAATGAACTTTTCTTACAGTTTTCCATTTTAATATCATTATTTGTTAGCCAGAGGAGATGACTTCAAGCAAGATGGTTTTTAAATGAGAATGTGATTTAGTCAGACCATGAAATAAGAGCACATTTATCTGTTAATTAACAAGAGTACCTTGCTGAGTAGACCTTTGAGTGCCCTATGTGATATCCAACCTCTTCCCCTACTTCACAATTGCGAGATATTGCCACCATTTTGGCCACAGCAACTACCGCAAATCTCCTTGGCTGTGTGCAAAGTATGGGGCCCATATTCTCTTGTACCAAAAACTGAGGGACTTGTGAGCTTTTCCCTTTTTATTAAACAAAAAAGTGAAGAAAGAAATAAAATATATGTCTAATCATAATATAGACTCAGAATGAATGAATGCAATAATGGCAAGCCATTCATCATTCTTTCCCACATTGGGTTCAGATGATGAGGCCATGGAGGAGGGAATTAGTAGAAACTGAAAAACTAGACACGGACATCATTTATGATAATATTCTTAAATGAGTGAAAAAATTATTGGCAGAACAAATAAGCACTATACAAGGGATATGCTTCTAGAGAAAACACCATCGAAGCCCTATTTAATGATCCTGGAAATTAAGGACTCCATCTCATAATGAAGTTTATGCCTTGACTTCACGGAGTTTAAGAAACATGTAAAGTGAAATGTGTGGTTGGAATTTGTTTAGAAAAGAAAAAATGATTCAAACCACATTTTTATTTTCTAAAAAGGAATCGAGAGAAGTGTAGAGTTTATTTTGAGGCATACGAATAAGGAAATTGTAAACTTGATTACGGGAGGTAAGGAGTATTTAGACCACCAAATCTAGGAGACTAGATGTTACACTTGCATACCAGTACTACATTCATTGACTATTTCAGTTCTAATCAGATGGAAATGAACATCAATTTCATCACGATAAATAGATTCAAGTAACAAGATATATATTTATTGGTGATTAGTCTGATCAGAATTCAGTCATTGTTCACTCTTGTCTGTCATTGCTATAAGTGGGTAAAATGTGGTAGAATATATATTACTCCGTATTCATTAAAACCAGGTTTCATGATTACAATCACTCATTAAACTCTTTATGGTCATGGGGATCAGATAATATTATTGCAATATTCGAACTACAACCACTGGATCTAAAAGTCCAAACAGTAAAATTCTAATACTCTACATGTCCAGCCTCTAGGAGAGCCCGATGTTTTAAAACATTTCATATATGTATAAGTTGTCGGGTATAGTTTAAATTAAGAGACACTCATCTATTGTTATATCAAAATTTCAATTACAATTAAGCTAATGCATAAAATTGTAGTTTGAGTTGAAACCTAAACATATTGAAAAAAAATATTAATTACAATTAAATAAAATCACAGATATTGATTGAAAGATAAATGGTTGAAGAGCTAGATTATACAGAATTGACAATATTTTAGCCTGAAAATCTATAAGGTGGGTACTTCTTTCTTTCCTAAAAGGGTGATTCTTTGAAGTGTTCCATAGATAGTAAAGAATTCCAAATATATGGCCAAGGAAGATAAAAATCAATGCACCTTCATTTAACATAGCCACTCCCACTGTTCTTTAATAGTTGTCTGCTAAGGTAAAGTCATGATTTTTAATCTGATCATTAATTTTGTAATAAATTGAAAACTACACCCCTTTTAATTTCTATGTACTAAAAGTAACAAGCAAAAATCAAATAAAAGTGAAAGTCCAACTTAGTTATTTTAGTATGAATTGCTTTATTCATTTTCTAATGAATAGTTATTTGTGAACAAAATGTCCTTAGCTAATGAGTAATTAGTTAAAACAACAGAGAGTAAATTCTATTCAGAGAAAATACTCAATATAGTCCTTGTATGTGCACGAGTGAGTCAAATTGATCTTTGTAAGTTGCACTGAGTTAAATAAATACATGTAGTATTGTAGTAAAAGAATGTGAAACTAATTAGTACCTCTAATGGGATTTTTCTAAACGGTGTTATTGAAATGTTGTGAGGGCGATAACTCTCTGAGCTTTAATAGCTCATTTGTCACGTACTTGAGCGATACAGCGCGTTGCTTCTGGGCAACGACCTAGATTTAGCGCAATATCGTTGTTTGGACATGTGATGCGGAGAGATGCTAAGACTCCAATGCACAGAAGCAAAAGTCTAGAGGTATTGGGTGGGAGTAATAGGGGTAAGGTAGACCTAGGAAGAGTTGGAAGAAGGTAATTAGACATGACTTAAGATTTCAGGACCTTTGAGGGGATATGACCTTAGATAGGAACTTCTAGAAATCTGGGACTAGAGCAATTCCGTAGAAGTCTGGGTCTTAGTAGTTTCTGCTAGTGTGTTTTCGTCTCTCTGTGTTGTTTGTGCCGGGGTCTAGTTTGTAGTGTTGTTGTTGTACAAAGATACAGTAAGATTTTGAAGGGGTAAAAAGACGCATAAACAAAGGCCAAAAGCAATGACAAATAGAGTAAGGTTTTGATTGAAGTTACCGCAGCCAGTGTCGCCCACAATAAGAGTGACGCGATTCTCAAGGATTTTTCCGACGATTTTTTCCCTCATGGCAGTGATAGGCAAAGTAGGAAGCGTAGGCGATGATGACGACAGTGACGCCGACGCAAACGACGTTGATAGAGAATCATAGCAGGAAGAAGCCCGTGGCGACGACATCTCCTGTGACATCAAAACCTCCGGCGCTTAGTTGCCGGTGAAATGTCCGAGCACAAGAGATGAAAGCAAAACGGTCGTGCAGGGTTTAAACTTTATACGGATTATTAGTAGCCTGCTTTTCCAATAGGAACAGTCACAGCGAGAACGGCTCCCGCCTGTCAGGCCCTTTCCCAGTTCCCAAACCTCTACCACGGATGGTTTTGGTGGCTTGGGATAGTGACTTAAGCAAAAAATTGCTGGTAGGTACCCTATGTTTTGTGGTAAAGACTATCCAAGTCTTATTATTTTCAAAAATATACTCTCAGGGTACCCAAAATAAGGATTTAATGTCCAATGAGGGACTTTTCATCCAAAGGCCCGTTAAGCATACAATCTCCGTTATATTCTTTCTTAAAAACAGTAAAATGCCATTTATAACCTTGCCATTTAGAAGTTCTTCGTTTTCAGAAGTCAAGAACGCAGCAACAGTGGGATATGGCTTTGCTCTTCGTGTTCATAGGTAAGTGAATCCATTATCTTCTTGGTCATGAAATCTATTTTTCCATGTTCTTGGTCTTCGTGTTTGTGGTTTGAGGTGGAATTATGAGATTTTGATTTTCCCCAATTGGTTTCATACGAAATTGTAATGGCTTCAAACAGGTATGTAATTGATTCATAAATTGAAGATGACCATCAATTAATTCAGTTATGATTATAACGGAGGTAGTCGGTGGACAAAGAAGAAAAGGAGGAAAGAAATCAGAGCTGCGCTGAGGAGGAATTATTACGGAGTCCGTATAGCCGACCGAGAGAAGGGAAGGAGAGGACAGAACCGAGGGGCCCCCGCTGCTGTTCTGGTGCCGTACAAAACCGAGGGGCCGCCGCTACAACGCGAAAATGAACAAAGTTATAAGGAATTGAAGGAATAAAGTGAACTCTCACCATTTTTGAGCAAGCAAACGATCGTGAAGAAGGATAATGACGGCAAACCAAAAGGAGAAGCAGAGCATGCCGTTTGGGAGAAGATGAGTGTGCAGAAATAAAAAACAACCTTTTTGGGAAATAATGAAGGGCATATAAGTCATTTACATAGACTTAACGGCCTTTGGATGAAAAGTCCCTCATTGGACATTAAATCGTTAATTTGGGTACCCTGAGAGTATTTTTAAAAATAGTAGGACCTGGTAGTCTTTACCACAAAACTTAGGGTACCCACCAGCAGTTTTTTGTGACTTAAAGCATAAAAAGATTGAGGAAACTCCCAGTATATGTAAGAAATGAATAAACCATTCCTGGAAGTGTATGTTAGGCGTTTATTTCCTTGCAGTGCAACACGGAGTTGCCTACTCTGTTCATTTCGAATTATTTCTTTAGACGGAGTAGCCAACTCCGTTAGCACCGAATTATTTAATGAGACGGAGTGGGCTACTGCGTTTGGGCTGAAAAAAACCAAGACGGAGTTGGCTACTCCGTTCGGCCTGAATTAATCAGAGACGGAGTAGCGTACTCCGTGTCTCTTCAATTTCAAAACCAGATCTCTTCCACTCGGTTTTACTCCTCCTTTTACAGATCTGGGCGTAAAAACCAAAAAAACGACGAGGGAGGGAGAGAGAACGACGATGCAAGGGAAAACCAACGGACGAGGAGAAACGAGGGAGAGAGAACGACGACCCCACCTTGACCGGAGTCAGCTACTCCATTTCGGTGCTTGAAGGTATTTTTAATTTATTTTTGTTAAATTTGTTCCAATGATTTTGAATTGTGTGAAAATATTAACAAATATATTGTTTAATTTTATAAATTGTTATTGTAAAATAATTATTTAGACATAGATTGTATGTATAAGTGGTTACTTCATGATTTTTTTTAATATAATTGTCTTGTTATATTTTTATTAGTCTTATGTTGTAATCCTTGAAGCAAATGGATGTACATCCGGGACCTATTTTACGAGATGTTTTAGTAATTGAAGCGGGAGACCATAGGTGTGATGCGGTTTGGGCCGATGAAGATTATGCTAAAAATGTATTAAAGTGTCACCGGACTTGTACTAGTTTGTATACAAGGACTCTTATTGTTAATAGGCCGGTTCGTGTGATTGAGTTTTTACGAGAATACGGATTTTATGGGGTTGAGAAAGTTGGTGACTTGCAGTTGGACTGGGCTTTGATCACTGCTCTAGTGGAGTGATGGAGACCCGAGACCCATTCGTTCCATCTTCCCTTCGGAGAGGTTGGAATTACTTTGCAAGATGTAGAGGTTTTGCTTGGATTGCCCTGGCAGGGAAGACTGGCCGATCCAGAGATCAGTGGATTTAGATTTGTGAGAACATGGTGGGATTTACGCCTCAAACATCCGATCTTACTTCTACTATGATTAAGATGTTTGTCATTCTTCTTAAGCAATTAACAGATCATAGTTTAGATGTAGATTACTTGCAGCATGTTAGAGCTATTATGTTTAAGTTGTTGGGTGGTAGCCTATTTCCCAACACGACGGGAAATAAGGTTAGTTTGTATCTTTTAGAGATTATCATGGGTGACGCAAACATTGTGCGAGGTCGTGCGATTGGTTCTGTAACGCCCCAAAACATGGTCTAAAAGTTATTCTATTATAAAAGTATTTTTAGAAACAATATTTTGACTCAACAAAGCATTATGTCTATGTTTGACCAAAACTGAAGGAATTTTTGGAATTAATGATTTTTGTTAAGATTGACTTTTATGGATAGGTCTCGAAGAGACGAATCCAACAGTATATTTTATGAATATTTCTGATGTACAGATGTTCAGTTATGACATTTTAAATATGTAATTTGTATTAAAATGAGAAATAGTCAAAGATGTGAACTTTTTGTAAAATGTTTTATTAAAATAAATATTTATATTTAATAATAGAGTAAATTCTATAATTGGTCCTTTATAACAGTGGGGGTTTCCCTATTTAGTCCTCTATTATCAAATATTATCCTAGTGGTCCTTCTTTTATGAGTACTTTTCTACAAATAGTCCTTTTTTGATCTTCTATCATGTTGGTGTTAATTTGATGGCTAAAAGTGTAATTTCACAATGATAATATATTTTTTTTGTCATACAAAATTCCAAAGGCTGTTCCATTTGCGTCGTTTGTGAATTACAGTCACTTTTTACGACAACGATAGTCTACAAATGTGATCTTTCGTCAGAATCCTAGCCTGCAATCATAGTCATTATTTTGTGTTATCCGCTTAACCAATATCAGAACACGTCACTAGACATAATGTTGGTGTCAAATTATACTTTTAGCCTTTAAATTAACACCAACATGGCAGAAGATCAAAAAAAGACCATTTGTGGAAAGGTACCCTTAAAAAAAAGACTACGGGGGTAATATTTGATAATAAAGGACTAAATATGGAAACACCGATGTTATAAAGGACTAATTATGGAATTTACTCTTAATAATATTGATTGAATATGAGACAAATTTTAATTACATATTAATTAATTCAATTTTGACTCTGTCAAAGTCAACACCCAAAAATATGCTGTCAGAAAAAGTATTCTAAATAAATATAATAATTATATCATTAAATAGAGTTTGACTGTCTGATCGCAACGGTACGGTGTAAACGGATTTCAATTTGGATAAAGTTGGACCAAAAAGTGTATCCCGATTGAGGTAATTTAATCAAACTAAACTAGAGGGAATTAAATATTAGCCCCCTCCTCCACCCAGAGTAATCTACGGGGAAAATCACAGAAGCACTCACACCACTCCCTCTCACAGGCCTATATATAGAGTCATTCATTCTTCATCATTTCCACACCAAAATCATCCCATTAGTTAGAGGAGAGTTCAGAGAGTTGAGAGAAGCTGTCCGGAGAGCTTCCCGTCGCCGGAGCAAGCCGTGGTGTTCGCCGGAAGTTTCACCGTTTTTCTGCCGGAATCATCGTTTCACTTCAAAGTAAACCCGTAGATATATCTAGTGACTAGAATATTCGTATAGATCGTTTCTACGTTCATAAATGGTCGTTTGGTTGAGTTTTGTGTTTGACATATGTGAAGAACCAAGAATCATAAACCTTGAATTTGTTGTTAAAACTTTGAATTGATGCCTTTAAAATGATCTACGAACCTTGGAGAACATTTCGATATAGTTTAATTGAAGTTTGGTGACCAAAAATGGAACTTGAGAAAAATGGGTTAGAGGTTGAAGATGATGAATAGTAACACTCCATTTCCTGCATTTTTCAACGGAACGGACGACTGTTCAGACCCAACGGTCGACCGTCACGAACATTTTTCAGTCCAAAAATGCTATTTTTGAAGCTTTAAAATCCTATTTTTGATACTAATCAATTTTGAATAATGTAAAGATTATTTTCACCATGAAAATGATGTTTTTAACAAATAAAATGTTATGTGATGCATGACAGTAAGTTAGGGTGTTAACACTTGAAACTAGACCATTATTTACTATTGAATGTTATGTTGATTGATGGTTATGATAAATAATTATTATGAATGATTATGAATGGTGAACCTACTGATTAAAATAATTACTTATGATTGAACCATGAGTAAAATGGATATATTGATAATTATGAAATGATGTGTATTGTTAAGAGTATCTAGAAGAACTCTAAGATATACCCATTTAAATAATTGATATTAAGGTTATCTACAAGACCTCTAGAATAGATCTCGGATTAGAAGGGATTTGTGAAAATATGAATATTCGGTGATTTGATAAAAAATGTAATAACGGAACACGTAGACCAAACTAGAGGATCATTCGTTTGGAAATACTTCGACTCAATGATGATTAATTACTGTCTTGTTGTTGCCTTAAACTAATTATAGTTTAAGCGTCTGAGAATTGTTTGCCTTAAACTAATTATAGTTTAAGCGTCTGAGAATGAAATTATGATCTGGCCTTAGGCTAAGAATAACTAAGAGTGTTGTTTTGATCTGACCTTAGATTAAGAATAATTTAAGAGCACTATCAAAATAATAACTGAATTGAATAAAATATGTTGAAGAACTGAATAATATCAAAACTGTGAATGTCTGAAGTGAACATTGTGTGCATGATATCAAATGATTTGATTATGAATTTAGATTCAGTTTATATGGATGTTCGACGCATTAGATATGCTTACTCAGCTTTACCGCTGAGCGTGTAGTATGTTTTATTTGCTACACACAGGTAAACAGAAAGAACAATGTGATCTTGGCGGCAGATGGGGCGAGATTGTCGGGACGGATGTGACAAGTTTTGAAATGAATTATGATATGTCAATATTTAATTCGCTTCCGCAATTTTGTTGAATACTCCGTACTGTATATGTTATGAAAAATATTATTGTGATAAATAAAAGTGTTTGAAAAGTTTTAAATTTTTACGATTACCAAGTTAATACTTAAGTCCAAAGGGGGCTGCAGATCTGGACGGATTAGGGTGTTACAGATTCGGCAGTTTTCAGTTACTTGTACCGTAGTATGTGTCGTGCTAGTTCGATGAGTGCAGCACAGATTGGAGGTTGTCTAGTCTTGTTATAACTTTGGGCTTGGAAGCGTGTGCCTATGACTAGACCTAGAGGGGTTATACCATGGGATCAGCCGGTAAACAACAACAACAACAACAACCCAGTTGAATCCCACAACAGTAGGGTCTGGGGAGGGTGTGTGTACGCAGACCTTGCCCCTACTCGGAAGTAGGGAGTCAGGTATTTTTAGTTTATTTATGTATATTATAAAATCATATTGTATGTTTCATTCATGGTTGTGCATAATCCTTCACTTGTAGATGGGTATGTTACCATCGATGGTCAAATTGTACCACACACTCCATATGAGCATACAGGGACTAGCTTGACAGATTGCTCGAGGGAGAGGTGAGTATTCATAATATCATAATGTTATACATACATATATATATATATATATATATATATATATATTAGTTTGAATGTGTATCTTAGTAGTTGTTTATGCATGCAGTTTGTTTGGATGTCATATCCGAATCTCGAGACCCTACCGCCATATTGTTCAGCCGGTGTTAGAATTGGATTTCTAGAATCCCCTTGATCTATGCGTACGTAGTGGAGATGTACTATCCTGATTGCTTTTGGAGGCAGCTTGGTGCCCTGCAACATGTCTCTCAAGTTGTTGTTTATGACCGTCATCTACACCACATTAAGTCAAATGCTTTGCAAATTGGCGATGGTGAGAGACAGTATTTAGAGGTGTGGGAGGGACGTTATGATGCTACTGCTACAGTGCACATGGAGTTTGGGATGGTGGATGCCACACCGGAGTATCGTCAGTGGTATTACCTTCGGGGTCGACGACAGATAGGGAACCTGTCCATCAGCACGGACCAGAGTACATCCCCATTTCTCCGGAGCTACAGACCGCAGTAAGTATTAATAAAGTATATAATTCTAAATTATATTTTTTTAAACTAATCAATAATGTTGTATGTAGTTATACTGTATGGTGGATATCAGTCAGTGCCTTGATCTTGGTAGGCATCCAGATGGGTTTGTACCTTCGCACGAGGTATTGAGAGTTCATGAGTTGTTAAGAGAGTGTGTTCGTGCTCTTTGACATAATGATGGATGTTTATGAGTTGTTCCAAGTATTTGTCTCCTATAAGAAGGCGTGGTGTGCAAAGTCATTGGCCATTCAGCGATTGTACGGTAGTTGGGAGGACTCGTACAACAAGCTGGCTCCTTTGCTCGGTGCAATTATGGGATCAAACCATGGGACAGTTGTGGATTTGCAAACCCAACCTACGAACGCACCGACTACATTTCAGTTCAGGTATGTTTTCTGGTCCTTCAAGGCATCCATTGATGGCTTTCACTATTGTCTTCCAGTTGTTTTAGTGGACGGGACTCACTTATACGGCAAGTATAAGGAAACTTTATTACTTTCCGTAGCAATGACGGGAAATGGTAACATTTTTCCCTTGGCTTTTTCCATTGTGGATGCTGAGGATGGTGCAAGCAGGAAGTGGTTATTCATGACAAATGTCATGCGACATGTCGTGCCTCCACACCGCCATATATGCATAATATCTGATAGGCATGGTGGTATTGATCACGCATTCAATAATGTTCCAGAATTGCATGGAGGTCAAGTCACTCAAAGATTTTGTCTCCGCCACCTGCGAAGCAATTTCCATAACAAGTTTCGAAGTAAAAAACTGAAGAATATGATGTACAAAGCTGGTGAGTCCCCTAGCAGAAGTGAGTTTGAGCAGACGCTTCTCTAGATAGCATCAAAAAAATCAAGAAGCTTACAACTGGCTTATGGATTCCAAAACACATGTGGGCATTGTCCCATGATGAAGGTGGATGAAGCTATGGTATAACGACCACAAATTCGTCAGAAAGCTTCAATAATGTCCTTAAGGGATGTCGTTGTTTACCCGTCTTTGCCATTGTGAGGTTCACCTATGACAAATTGGTCAAGCTTTTTGCTGATAGGCGAACCAATGGATATTTGTGGCAACAATCTGGGTATAATTTTCCTGTGTATGTGTGGAAAAATATCAAGAACAATGAAGAAAATAGACTTTATTGTCGTGTTGTGCAGCACCATGCATAGCATGGGATATACTCTGTGGTTGTGGATGGGTCCTCCAACAATGGTCACTGCAAGACATTTGCGGTGAATTTAAATGCAGGAACATGTACCTGTGGAGAATGGGTAATATATCACATTTCGTGCATTTATGTCCATGCAGTATGTCATCATGTCACCGTGGATCATTTGATTATATTCCTAATATTTTTTCAATCCAGTCCTACATCAACGCTTATTCGGGAATCCTAATGCCGCTTCCCAATGAGGCCGAATGACCTACTCCACGATACGAGATTGTGAGACCAACTTACGAGCGAGGACACAAAGTGGTCGACCTACAAGAACTCGCTATCCGAATAACATGGATTACCGACCACGGCGACGTCGCAATGAACAATAGCTATATCATGTGTTTCAATTATGTCTAAGTTTATGCTTTATGAATTTCACAAAATAAATTAGTTATGGCATGTGTTTTGTAACCTTATTCTTATGAATAAATGTTATGTACTCTATCAATAAATTTGTTGTGATTTACTTCTTATTTTAATTTCGGTGTATGGTGCTTTATTTAAAGTCAATAAATAATTCTTTTATTTATGAAATATTGAGAAATAAAGGAAAAAAATTGTTTTAACAAAAAAAATAAATAAAAATTGAGGAACAAAAATAACTTTGTGAAAGAGGGACGAAAACTGAGGAACAAAAAAATTGATTTAAAGAGGGACCAAATTGGCTACTTCGTTTCCATAAATAATTATTTGGAACGGAGTTGGCTACTCCGTTTCAATAAATAATTATTTAGGAACACAGTTGGCTACTCCGTTTCATTAAATATTAAAGCTTAATTGGAGTAAGCTATTCCGGTTGGCATTTTTTGGGAAAGTGTATATTTTATTTACATATAAAGGAACCACAAACAACCATTCTACTCATGCAGTGAAACGACCCAAAAAGATTTGGATGTTGGAAAAAACTCGAAAAAATTGGAATGAATTGGAAAAAACTTGAAGGAATTGAAAGAACTAGAAGAAACTGGAAAAAACTCGAAGAAACCAGAAAAACTTCAAAAAATTGGAAAATCTAAAAAAACCTTTTAAAGAATTTATTTTAGTGTATTTTTATATTATTCTAATTCTTGTTGTTATAAATTATTATTATTATTATTATTATTATTATTATTATTATTATTATTATTATCATCATCATCATCATCATCATCATCATCATCATCATCATCACGTTATCTTAGTGAATGCTTTTAAGATAAAAAAGTATTTTTATTTTTCAAATACAAAAACTACTATTGCAAAAAAGTTATTATAATATAAACTTGAGTAAATTCCATAATTGGTCCTTTATAACAGGGGGGTTTCCATATTTAGTCCTCTATTATCAAATATTACCCCCGTAGTCCTTTTTTTAAGGGTACCTTTCCACAAATGGTCCTTTTTTGATCTTCTGCCGTGTTGATGTTAATTTAAAAGCTAAAAATATAATTTGACGTCAACATTATGTCTAGTGACGTGTTCTGATATTGGTTAATCGGATAACACAAAAATAATGGCTATGATTGTGGGCTAGGATTCTGACGAAAGATCACATTTGTAGATTATAGTTGTCGTAAAAAGCGACTGTAATTCACAAACGACGCAAACGGAACAGCCTTTGGAATTGTGTATGACAAAAAAGATATATTATCATTGTGAAATTATACTTTTAGCTCTCAAATTAACACCAACATGATAGAAGATCAAAAAAAGGATTATTTGTGGAAAGGTACCCATAAGAGAAGAACCACTTAAGTAATATTTGATAATAGAGGACTAAATAGGGAAACCCTCCTGTTATAAAGGACCAATTATAGAATTTACTCTATAAACTTAGTATAAATATCAAAATATTAAATTTTAAAAAGTTTTTGTGTTACGTTGCACCTCAATTTATTTATTTTGTATTTATTATAAATAATATATTTGTAATTATAATTTATATATTACAAGATTTTGTTTTAAATATCAGACAGCTCGCCGCCAGCCATGTCTGAACATAAGAGCTCGATTTCACCCTTGGCATAATTTCATCCCAGCGCGATCCCAATTTGGGTTTCCACTGTACTCGCTATACCGCAGGTCCCAAGGAAACTGGAAAAAGAGATTGACTTCACCTTTTCTTTTTCACTGCTATACTTCACCTAATTTTTTTGATGAGATGAAAAGTACAAATCACTACCAAATTTTACTAAATGTACACTAAAAAAACAAATGATAGATTCACATGCTAAAATGACTTATAAACTTCTATTAATTATACTCCGTATATAACTAAATTATACACAAAAAGTCATATACAAAAAAAATTATGCAAAAAGTGTTGACTACCAAAAAAATTAATACTAAGTATTTCATTGAAAATTCATAGTGTTAAACATAATTTTATTGTTTTAAACAAATTTTATACGTTGATCTGTTAATTTAAAAATTTTGCATTTTCAACCGTTTTTCTTTAAATGTCACCAAAATATAACTCATACTTAGATGAATAAGGGAGATAGTAATATACCCGACCCGACTTTTAAAAACTTTCAGGTCGTCGGATTTGGATTATTTTATTTTCGGTTTAGGTTAGATCATTCATGTAGTCGGTCGAGTTGGTTAAACTCGGGTTCGAGTTGAATTGTCGTCCCTAATAAGCCACAATAAGGGAATACCTTGAAACGTTTTTTTAAATAATAGATAAATCCCAAGACGTATAATAACATACCAAAAGAAACATCTTAATCTAATAACATTTTGTTCCAAACTTCCCTCCGAAAAAATATAATAACATACCAAAAAAACATTTCGGTTTTAATTGGCCACACAAGAAACCATACAAAAACATCCCATTACAAACACCCTCAACCATTTTAAGTCATTTGGAATGCAGGCAGTCTTCATTGGTTTACACCTTCTTCTTCTTTTTAGCAACCACTCACTTTCTGCTTTTTCCTTTTGTTCTTCTTGCTGCCTTCACCCATGGCAGCATTACTCCTTGGACAACAAACGAATTGAAACAAAAAAAAACATTTATGTCAGGAGTTGCTCTTGTATTTAGGAGAGACACCATGGACTTGCTGGTTAAGATAGTTGTCATGTTTGTTAATTTGGTGAGATTATTCAACAGACATTTAAGCCAGTTCACTGAAAATCAACTAAAAATCAGCCAGTTCAACTAATAATCAGCCAGTTCAACTAAAAATCAGCACAATGCACTTTTAGAAGTGAACACTGATACGGTATTCCCAGCAGGTTAAAGTATAACACACATGTATCAATGAAGTAGAAATTTCATAAATTACAAATGAAATTCGATAATCTTATGAATTGGATGTGAAATGACATACTTGGAATTGATGATCTCTGAAACCGAAGAGTTCACATCTGAAGTGGGTTGCATGAACTTCATCAAATCTGTCTTCGGATCCCAAGGTTTGTAGATCCCCGGAGAAGTCTCCATTGCGAGTATCTCATACCTCTGGCCATCTGGATTTAGCATCAACGTCGTCTTCTTAGTCCCAGCAATGATTATGACATCGTCCTCTTCAAGGTAATAGATGATTTCAGTCTCCTTTGAATCGACCACACCATCGTCGTCGCTTTCAATGAAAATTAATTCGTTCTCAGATACATGGCCGCCAACAACAGATTCGGATGAGAGGGCCATGGGAATTGAGAGAATGAGGGGAAGGGAGATGAGTGGACGACTTTTTTCTGAAGTCTGCAGCGAGATCGGATAAGGAGGGGAAGGGAGATGAGTGGCTCTAGTTTGTTCAGTTCATGATAAAAGACTGATTTTATTAGGTGGTGGATGGGGTAGATAAGTGGTTATCATGTCCAAATTGAATTTTGTTATTAAAGCAGGATAAAGTTATTAAATTTGTATCCCAAAGTTTTTGTACCTCACTTGTACACCGTAGATTTGCACTAACATTTTGAGTTGGTGTAAAAATATTTTTTTAAAACACCAACACTTTGTTGCACCCCTTTTAAAAAAAGGGGTGCAACACAGGGATTTCCCAGCAATACTCCCTCTAAATTTTGGCCAAAATATTTCAAAAATTTCATCCACCCTCCAAAAACCGATTCACGTATCTGACCTTCCTCTACCTCCCAAAAACCGAGAAGGCCTCCAAAAAATAACTTCACCTAATTCAATCAATTCATCCGCTCTACTCTGAACTTCAAACCCTACCTCCCGTCACCTCCTCACTCAACCTTCTTCTCCGATTCACTTCCCTCTGCTATACTGGAGCCATAACCTACCGTCTTTGCCGACATTGGAGTTGAAAACCCTAAAATAAGGTAAGTCGTACACCTCTAATCTGGTATTCCCTCCAACGATAGTCACCAAATTTGTTTTCCCAATTTTGTCGAATTCTTCTTGGCCTCTTCTTTGCATGCGTCTACCTCGCTGCTCAGATCCCCCCTAAAGAGGTCAGGGTTACATTTCTCAATCCATTGAAGTCAATATTCATTGGTTTGTTGTTATTCTTTTTAATTTACTATCTGTAAAGGCTTGCTTCCAGAAAGGGTTCAACCAATTCCTTAATTCGTTGAATGTGACCCTCAGCAGCAAAAATGAACAATTTTTTTTCTAAAGTCAACTCAATACTCCTTCCATCATTTTTTAAATATATTTAAAAAAAATATTAATCTTAATACGTTTTTTTGTCACAATATTTTGGTACAGACCTTTCTTGTTTGTGTAATGCTTGACATCAAATTTACTTTACTGTTTTAGTGTCCCTTATCACAAACTGTACTCCTGAAAATTCACCTAAAAAAATAAATGTGATAACCCACCTACAAATTGAGGCAGAACCCAATTTTTCATTATGTGCAGCATTTATTCGATATATACCTTATTTTAGACTGAAATGTTTGATCTTCACTCACTTTCAGAATATGGCCAGCACTCAACAGAATGCGCAGGCTGGAGGTGCATCCAAAAACCAATTCTCCGATCCTCTCCAAGGCACAAGAAACCTGAAGGTCTTTCAGACCGTAATGAACTGCAATGTCATAGTTCCCCAAAACCCGAGCTCCGAAAATCTCCCAGGCTTAAAATAAAAGATCGGCCGAGCACTTTGACAGTGGTGCAGGCATTGAGTGGCTTAAGGTCAAAGAATGTGCAAAGCCATTCTACTCCCTTGCCCGTCACCCCAAAGCCAAAGCCTATATCTGACAATGTACAAAAACAGATCAAGCAGAAGAGAAAGCGAGAAGAAGTCGAAAGTGAAAGTGTCGCCAAGCCTTCTGGGGGTGGGTTGAAACTCCGAAAACGTGGATGTGTTTCAATGCACCGCGTTGTGAAACGTAAGATAAATGGACAGAAACCAACGGTTTTGTTTAATGATAAGGGACAACCGTATGGCGTGGCTGCTGCAGAGATGCAATCTTATATTGGAGTTTTGGCAAGGACAAAAGCTCCAATATGGTTTGACACTTGGAGGCAAGTTCCGGTAACCATCAAGAACAAGATTTGGAAATCTGTCACGGTAAATATAACCATACTAACACTTGACTAGTGCTTACAAAATAAATAACTTGATCATTAATTATATACCTGTGTTTTCCAACTGACTTAGTCTACTAAATTCCAACCATTTTTATGCATATAATTGGGGTTCGACCTACCCCCTTCTGCACAAAAACTTGTGCTGCAGTTGGCAAATTCGAAGTGGAAACAATTCAAGAGTACCCTGACATGTAAATATATTCTCCCCTTTCGAGATGAACCTGAGAGGCTGAGGACTCCACTAGAGGACTTCTCTTTCTTGGAGAAGAATCATTGGGATATTTTTGTTGTTGATCTTCTAAGCCCCGAGTTCTTGGTAAGACTATGTTTCCATTGTACTTTATTTAAAATACTATCTTTTTGATGAACTGTCCTTTTTTTTGCAGAAAGTCCATGATGAGCATGTGAAGAGAGTTAAGGAAAACAAATATCCTCATCGCTTGTCCCGAAAAGGCTATGCAAACCTGGAACAAGAATGGGTTAGTACTCACTAATATATGCAGAGTTCTGTGTTAGGAGTATTCCTCTTGTACATGTACATTTTGACTATGATATATTACTCACTAAATGAACATGCAGGCAAAAACACACAGTGGAGATGAGTCAGTCATTGATCGATCTGTTACGTGGGTCCTTGCAAGGAAGGACAAAGAAGGAAATTTCAAGAGTGACTCTACAAAACAGAAGGCGGGGGAAATTGTAAGTTTTTAAATAATTTCTGAAAATTAGTAAGTTCTTGCACATAATGTTGCTATATGTCTCTAATCCCCGCAGCCCTGTTGATATTCCTTTGATGCTTTAGTGTAATGTTAAAAGTTTGAGTTCTATACCACGTCTGTTTTATTGATAGAATTCCGGTTCCTTTTCAGGAGTTCTTAAGGGAACAAGTATGTTCTGGTGTGCTTACTGAAGAAGGTGATGATGATGTATTGACCAAGGCTCTTGGGAAGCCCGAGCACGGTGGAAGAGTTCGAGGTCAAGGAATGCATGTGAGGAAGGCTGTGTATTTCAATCTCCCGCG